TTAGGGCGCACTCCACAAGAGCAATAGCAACATCTACAGCCTGGTTGTGTGGCGTTGAAGTCCCTGACATCTGTCAAGCGGCCACTTGGTCTACACCCTCAACTTTTGTGATGCATTATCGTCTTGATGTCAGGGCAAAGAAGAAGCAAGTCTTGGAAGGGCTGTGCTGACTTCATTCTTGGTGTGACAGCCCTCCTTCTGGAAAGTGAGTTGCTAGTCACCCATTTGTGTTCATTCACAGAGGCCACGAAGAAGAAAGAGAGGTTACTTACCTGTAACCATGGTTCTTCGAGTGGTCCTCTGTGAATCCACACATCCTGCCCATCCTCCCCGCTGTCCGTCACTTGGTGTCTTAAGCTTTATGGGAATCAGAGCCTTGACAGCGGCAAACATTTCGGAACTGATGTATTACAGGCGGGGGGAGCATGTGTGCCATGGGGCAACGTCCTACTAATCACATCTTTTTAAGCTCAAGAATATTCCAAAGAGTCCTGCGCAGGCGCAGTAAAACCCATTTGTGTGGATTCACAGAGGACCACTCAAAGAAACATGGTTACAGGTAAATAACGTCTCTTTATCTCACTTAAATATTATAGTGTGATCTGGAAGGTCACAGTTTAAGAAATCTGTATGATTTCTAATAATGGCTTAAAGTTTCAGTCTCATCACTATTTCATGAGTTACATGATTCTCATTACTGTGTTTTCTTTGTTGCTACTATGGTGACTTGTGCCAGGAAAATATGACTGTGACACAAGAATTAATTTATGTAAACTTGGAGGTTTTTAAATACCAACAAGGCTTTCATCATACTTTATTTGGCATGCTAGAGAAGTTAGACTTTTCCCTGGAGCTGAATCTCTGTGTTCCAAATTTGTACTTTCCCCTTTTTCCCATTGCCTGGTTTAAAATGGATTCACAATTAAATGTTGTGATACTTGAAAGATTGTAGCTGAATAAGAGTGCTGTTTTGGTGCAGTTTTGTGTAGTATACATTTGAAAGTTGAATTTCAGAAAAGTAGTTTGAGTGATCTGAAAAATATTGGAATGTTAAGAGGCTTATTGTTTATTTTTCTTATCCAAGTGAGCAAGCCAGTCATTGTTCTTGGAAAGATACTTCATTAAAGTTCTAAAAATGCAACTTGGATAATACTTTTCAAACAAACAGTTCTTCTTTGTGATCATCTGTGACCTCACACGTTTGGGTATTGGCACCTGCATGGAGAATCTTCTGCAAAGTTTTCCTACTGAGTAGCTTCTTGACAGGAGCCCCACCTTCCTTTATCATTACTAGGCACACCTGATTGACTCCACCCCAGTTCCTTTTTGTCCACTGCTCTAGTAACAGTTAGAAGGAGCGTTGCTAGTTTTTCTATTTGTGCTCACAAAATTCATGTCATCTGGTTCCCAACATAACATGGCACTCACATCCACAATTTAGGATTTCTGGTAGTCTTCAAGGTGTTCAAAGCATTCAAAATATTTGTGATGGGAAAGGTAGTTCAGATATATAGATAATATGACCAGCATGTATTATATCAGTAAACAGGACAGCATGCCTTCCAGCTCCTTCAGGTTTCAGCTATGGAAATGGTGTGTGAACAGGTATACTCTCCCAAATGCAATTCATAATGCAGGGATACAAAGCCAGCTCACATATTATTTAAATTGATGGCAGATTCAGGTGCATGAAAGAAAGACTCTACAGGCTGTTTTCCAGCAAGTCGTGCGCATTGAGGTTAGCCATGTGTGGATCTTACTGCTTTGGAAGAGATTCATAAATATGCTTACTGTTCTTGGGCAGGGGCATTATCCAGTGAAGTGCTTTCCTTCAACAAAGGGAGACTTCCTTTTTCTTCTCCCCCATTTCCTCTCATACATTGGCTGAAATCCAGTAGTAAGCTACAACTAGAGTAGACCCACTGAATCAGTGGAGATTCGGTGAGCCAACTCCTCTGTAAGTTCCACTGATTTAATGGCCTACTCTAGCTATGACATACTACTGAATTTCATCAATTGAATGAATGTTCGTGTAACTTAAGAGAGAACAAAACAGATGGTGGATTCTCCAGCTTTAAACTGCAGCACTGTACCTCCTGTCCTGAGGGGTTTCTACCCCCTACTAGTTCAACCAGGTCTATTAACAGAACAGTTCATTAAGGTTTTGAGACTTCAACTATGAAACCTCAAACTCTGTACTACATGTTTTGTAGTCTTCAAAGCCATATACTACAAAAATTCAGTAGTCTCATCCCTGTTGGTTATCTGCAGTTGACTTTGTGCTTCAGTTTCTGTTATGTTTGGAAAAGGATGATCTGTCACAATCTTCACTGTGTGTACACTTAGCGGCAGTTGTAGCCATCAACCAAATGCATATTCAACACCCTCACTCCTCACAACCCAGTAATTAAAAGATTTTTGCCAGGGCTGAGTAATTTATACCCACCTAAGGGTACACCTGTACTATCCTGGTCAGTTTCTGTGGTGCTGACACAGCTAATGTCTCCACCATTTAAACCTAAAGTAACTTCAGAGTTCTTCCTGCTGATTTTTAAAGTTATTTTTGGTGTCAATAACATTTGCTCATAGAGCTTTGCATATTAAGACATCATTCACCATACCAGTATATCCATAAGATTACTTGTGAACTCTTCTACCAAAAGTGGTACCTCTTCCCCAAGCTCAGCTATTTTTTCTTCAGGTCTCTTGGATTCACACTGATAAGTTCCTTCTGTACCTGCACAGACATTCTTGGAACGTTCAAGAGCCAGAAAAGAAACTGTTAGCATCACTCTCTCACCTAGTTATTTCTTTGCTACCATGAGATATGCAAGGAATGGCCCATTTCTCTTCGTAATTTTACAAAATTGATTACTATAGCTATTTCTCCAACTAACTAATTAACACACATGCTAGTATCACTTTGGTTGAGTAGCCATTCTGTGAGAAGCATGGGATCCTAGATTACATTACTGAAATAGATCCATTACTAGATGTTGGTAAAGCAGAAACATGGTCTCAACCCTGTTACTTTGCAAGCCATTATAGAATAGATGTTGGGGATCATAATGATGCTTCTTTAGTACTTTTTTCAGTACTCTGCTTCTGATAAGTGAGCTAACAAGTCACCCAAATGTGCAATTCCGAGGCCACAAAGAAAAAGAACAGTTAAGAATATTGAAGAAGAATGAAACAGTGGTTGAAATCCAGTAGTAAGTTGCAAGTAGTGTAGGCCAATTGAATTGGTAGAACTGATGGAGCAGGTGACTCAACAATCCTGCCTGATTCAGTGGGCCTAATCTAGTCGCAAGTTACTGCTGGATTTCAGCCACTGTTTTATTCTTGCTTCTGATTTTATGTTTAGTTCTATTATATGGTACATTATTTTTCTTGCTTCTGCTTTATCTTGGTTTTACCTGGGATCTTGTATTTTTAACTAAACTTGTATGTAGATGCCTGGAGAAGTTCAGTTGTTGGGCAATCTGAAAATGAAATTTTAAAAATTTCAAATCCATTGTTTTCATTTCCATGTCTTATAATTTATTAGCATTTGAGGCTGTGATACAGAATGTTTTGCTAGGTTCAGACCTAGCATCAAAGCATGCATTTCTTTGTTGATTGTTATAAGAATGAACTATCTTGAACAGCCTTGTCCTCACATGCTTTCAAAAAGGAAATCAGAGATTTTGCTTTCAACCAGACCTGGCAATCATTGTTGCATCTTGAGGAATTGTGATTTTAAAAAAAACACAACTCTGCTTATTCAAAACAAGCAAGATCGACAACATTGTTCTCCAGATCTCCTTTAAACAAACTACACTCATATTTTGCAAGTGCTGTGTTAACCTGTCTTATTTATTATATTGGGACACATGATCTTTTTCCAAAAATAGGGGGGGTCACATTGTCTTGATGAAAAGGCATGGGGTTACTTACTTGTGGTGGAAGGGACTGAGGCTGGTGCTAACTGGCAGAATATCACTACTTTCTTCCTCTTCCTTGCTTAAACCTCTTTCACTCACAACTAGCCACACACTTCTCTGAATTGTAATAAAGGTAGATTTTAACTCTCCTCCTGCTGCTTTGCTGGTTACAGCAGTGAGCCCTGTTTCTTGTTTATTCCCCAACAATGAGGTTGGGGTGGGGAGAGCCCCATAGGAGATGTAATTTCCCTATCTTGTGCTCTTCTGTCTGTCTACTCCCCTCCCCTCATGACATAGCTGATTGATGGAGAACAGGTAAACAGCTGACAAAAAGAACTGATGAATAGAGGATGGAAAGAGAGTGGTAGACTAGGCCACTCTGGACCTCTGGTTTACCATTCCTTATAATGTAATTTGATTAATAGTGACCTCCTCAGAGTTTTTAAAGTGCTAAGTTAGGATCAAGCAGTTTGCCAAAGGCCACCCTGGTGGCAAGCGTGAAATCACACCAACCACACACATTCCAGGTGGTCTCAACTATTCTGGCTCTTGAGAGACAGGGATTTGAACTCCCCACTGCTGGCTCAAATGCTTCAACCCACTGACCTATACCACCTCCTATAATGTCATTATAACTAGAAATGCTAAAAACTAGAACTGACAGTTTTGTGAATCCATCAAGTGTCTTTTCAGCCATATATTTAGCAATGTTTTTTATACAGTTGTCTCTCTTAAAGTGTAATGCTTCCCCCCCCCCCCCAATATAGTTTCATTCATGGTATTATTCTGTTCTGTAATGCATGTTACTGTGTTATGTCAATATACTTTCTATTAATTTGGAAGAGAATTAATGTTTCCTGAATATTCTGGGCCATAAATAACAGACTCTAGTGCTGTAAAACAATTTGCACTATGCTGTAATGTTCTGTAATCAAATTCTCCTTTGATTTTCACAGTACCATCAAATATATGGATAAAGGCCCAGTCTAGTTTGCAAAATATTCATTATCTTGATATGAATTGTGAATTGCAGTACTGTGAATTGTGAATAACACAGAATGATTTATTTATTTACAGAAAAAAACAAACCAACAACAAATAATTCAAATACTACCAATGTGCACGCTGCTCCCATAGCTGTGACTACACCATCTGTTCCTTCTGGTCAAGTGACACCTTCATCCCCTGTTAAAAAGGTAAAACAGTTTCAGTTTGTAGTAGTACAAACAGTGAACTGTGTCTCTTGTAACATTAAAAGCAATGCTTCAACCAAGATACATTTAGTACCATTACATAAAACCAGAAATCATTTTAGAATCTTTTGAGTGACACTATTGCTTTAGTATAAGCCTTTGAGTTTCATTAAGCATGCTGCTGTGTCAAGGTTTCTGGGTGTAATGCGCCAACTACAGTTGGGCCAGGCAACCTTGCTTGGTAGATGGAAGACTGCATTTCAGTTTGCAAAATATTCATTTAGTCCTTTACTTTTTCATGGATTCACTGGGCCAGTCGGCTTTTCCTATTTGTAAAATGGGGATGTAGTTGGTGTGCTCTAAAAAGAAATCAATTGTACCAGTGTGTAGAGGATGAAATGTTTTGTTGAAGGGTTACTCTGGGGAAGAACTATGTTGAAAATTTTAGGGCTTAATGGGTAAACTAAGTAAATAAATAATTAAATCAATCCTTTTGCAGCTGGGGTCTTCATCACATCCTTTTCCTGTGGCTTGTGCTTTCCTATTCTTTGCTTTATTCTACATATAATTCTTAGAGAGGGTGGGTTTTTTCAGCTATACAAAAGAACTTTGTATCTGCTAGATTCATTGGGGGAAATGTTTGATAAAGACAGTGAACATTATAATCTATGTGCATTGCCCACAATTTTCAGTAGTGGTCTTTATCCAAACAGCTATTTCACATACAGTGGTGCCCCGCTTGACAACGATAATCCATTCCAGGAAAATCGCTGTTAAGCGAAATCGTTGTCAAGTGGGGAAAAATCATTTGAATGCATTGAAAACTGGTCAGTGCATTCCAATGGAGAAATACCTCATTGTCCAGCGAAGATTGCCCATAGAGAACTGCCGATCAGCTGTTTAGAATCGCTGTCTTCCGAAGCAGGGGTCCGGAAAGCAGCCATTTTGCGAAGGGAGGGAAGCCATTTTACGAAAGGAAGCCATTTTGCAGAGCCGGAAAAATCATCATTCAGCGAACAAACGGTTCGCAAAGCAGGCTCCTAACCGACATCGAGTGAAAAAACCCCATTGGAACCATCATTTTGCGATCACAATAGTGATTGCAAAAAACTCATCGTAAAGCGATTTCAACGTCATGCGGGGTAAGCGTCTAGTGGAGCACCTCTGTACTTGCAGAACTTGATAGTTTCTAGCTGTCCCTTTCCCTAAGCCTAAAATGTTTTTCTTTTAACTACTACTTCAGAACAAGTGACAAGTAATAAATATGGAATATGGCTTCAAAAGCATGGATTTTACTTTATTGCTTAAAAATTCACACAGCAGATTTTTATATAAAATGTCTTAAGCCCCATTTTAATACTCAAAGATGTTACAACATAGAGCTGAAAGTAATGCTCAGTTTAGATGCAACAGCAAGCCAGGATTCCAGGGAATCGTGGCTTGTCATTTATGAGTGAATGGCTTCTGCCCTCCACCCATTTGGGGTATCTCCGACAGGAATGGATAACCAATCACAGACTCATAGGGAATCTGGCTTATCTTTTTCACCACAAGAGCGGTCAGTCAACCATAAACAATGTTGTTCATTGAGAGGAATGCCAGAATTCATTGTTCAGGCATCATACTAAGTGTGGCTGCCTCCTCATACGTCACAGAGGGGATGCCACTTCACAGTTTCTTTCTCTTAACACGCTGCCACCAACCACACACATATATCTGACTCCTCAGACAAAGGTATGGATTTTAAAAATAAAAATTATTGTTTATTGGTACAACTTAATATATAGTAAATCAGTATATGAACTGAATAAGTCAATCATTAAAATAAAGAATCCCTTCAATCACTCTATCACTCAGACCTTATCTAACACAGTACTTCATAACATACATGCCCTAACTCCCACTATATCTTCTCCTCCTAGCTAATCTCCCCCACACATCATTCACTCCCCCCTTATATACATAGCTGCACCTCCTGGAGTCCCACCTCCTGCCCTGCTATAGGCAGAAGAGCTCCAGCATAACATTGATAGGCAGGTGACGTCATCGCAGCCGTTACACTAAGCAAACATGGTGATGTGATTTGTTGAACTGCTTCTAGTCACAGGAATTGCTGAGCAGTAGCAGTAAGGAAATATATACAATGCTTGCTATTGATAGTCAGGTTCCAGGGACTCCTGACATATTACAACAACTATGGCCAATATTTTTTCAGAGAGCCACATCATTTGACACTTGCTTAATTCTCTCTGTCAATGACAGATTTCAGGGAAGCATAGCCATACAAGGACAGAGCTGTTTTGCAGCTGTCTATACTCTCCTTTCTAAAATAGGGAATTACTTGGAAGACATAATGTGGGGTTGATATTTGGCCGGCTCTGAGAATAGATGGAAACTGATGAGAGATTTTAAAGTATCCTATACAATGGAGAGGAGGTTGTGTTTTATTCTCCTGCATCCAATGGAGTGGACTGTAGTCCATGAAAGACAATTGTTAAACTTCAAGGTTCTGTAAAATAATTGTTTGTTTTGTCTGTGACATGGCTACCTCCTGGAAATATTTCCATTCTATCGTTATTAGTATTGTGCAGGGCCATAAGGTTTGATGACGGTATTAACTGGTACCTAAAGGGAATAATAGGGTGTGCTTTGATGCCACAAAACAAATCGAAAGTAAGAACTCCCTTTCAGTGGTGAAGGACAAAGACTGAATTAGTATGGTATGAAAAAATCCTTTTAAAAAAAGTTTTCAGGGTGTCTTATGCAGTATATGTGAGAAATCTAACCATGTGGGCTTGACTACTCCTGAATGGCATTGACAGATTTAAACGGCAGTGTACACTACTTTCTCAGGCTTGACAGCTGCTGCATGGTCAGCCCTGGTACTGACCTCCAGATTATAAAGTAGCTTTCCTTTGATATAAGAGGGCTTTTACCCACAAAGATAAAATGCCAAACTATGTTAGGGATCTTCCAAGAGGGAGCTATAATATCAGTATTTTTCTTCTCCTTTCACTCATTCCTGGATATTTCATCTCCATCTTGCAGTAACAGGCCTTCTTAGCATCTCTTTCATTGTGATGAATGTTGAATCTATATCATCACTGAGTTTGGGACAGAATGTCTTACAGAAACATAATGTCCTGTCACCTTGCCATAATTAGGAGTCCATCAGCCTTCCACTACAATATCAAAGCTTCTTGATGCTGGAGATGTTGAATGAAGGCTTCATGAATAATCTGTGGCTGTAGCCTACTTTTCAGCTTTGTCTGTGCAGCCACAGTAGATGAATATTCTATCTATTTTACTAGCAGCATAAACTCTTAAAGCCATGGGGTTGTTACCAAATACCTTTGTGCATCTGCCATCTATGACAGGAAGTACAGACTTTACAGGTGACTGTGCCCACAGTATTACTTGCTCTGCATTTAGCAGCGATTCCAGTACCACTATTGCCTTCAACCATATTATATGCTCCTATTTACTATCCTTTGGTTTTGGTGGCTACTGTTAGCCATCCTCAGGGAAAAACTAAACTGGCATGACTTCTTCAGACTTCAAAAAAGGAAAGATTACCAGTTGGACAACATGTCCTTGTCCTCCATTACTCTCTCTATCCCTCTTGTGGATAGAAAAAGTAATGGAGCTCTGGTTTAGAGTCCCAGATCCCAGTGAAATATCTGGTGTACATCTGATGTAATTGATACACAGTCATAATCAAAAATTTTCAACCCCCATTGCAAATCAGGTTCATTGTTAAAATTTACAGACTTTCAGCAGTTTGCACTGAACATATCAAACAAAAGCAATTGAAATAGCACAACACAATGAATGATTCAAGTGGTTTTCCCCAATTTAACTGAAAATGCAACTTTTAATGAATTCTGCAGTCTCAAATTTATTCAACCTTCTGAATAGAATCCCTCACAACAACAAAAATATGCAAAACAGATGTTGTCTCAAGCATACCTGATATAACAAATCAAGGGCTTCATTAGTTGCACCATGTGTGCTTAAGCTGGAACACATGAAACGCCTGAACTGGCTAGGGGTTTGGTGTCACGTTTGACTGCATGTTAAAAATATGGCTAAGTCACAAAGATAGTCCAGAAAGTTAAGAGAAGAGATCATCGCCCCTCACAAGCAAGGAACAGGATACAAAAGATAGCAAAGACATTGAATGTTCCGTTGGAAGCATAGTTCACAAGTTCAGTCAAAGGAACAGTGGTTACACTATCTGGGTGGGACAGAAAAAGGAAGCTGTCAGTGGCTGCAGTCAGATTTCTGAGAATGCAGGTTGAAAAAAACCCTTGAGTAACTTCAGAAGCCCAGAAGCAAGATTTGGTTGCAACAGGCACTGAGATTTCGGTTGCACAGTAAGTAAATGCAGAAGGTTTCAGTTACAGAACTCAAAGATGTACATCACTACTGACCCAAAGGCACAAAAAAGTTGGTTCCAATATGCTCAGAATCATAAATAACCCACAAAAGTTTTGGGATTCTGTTCTGTGGAGCAGTGAAACAAAACTGGAACTTTTTGGCTGGATGGATCAACAGTATGTCTGGAGGAAGAAGAATGAAGCATACGCTGAAAAGAACACTCTGCCTAAAGTTGAGCATGGTGGTGGCTTGGTGATGCTCTAGGGCTGCTTTGCATCCTCTGGCCTTGGAAACCTGCAGTGTGTGGAAGGCAAGATGGATTCAGACAACATGCCATCTGTGAAGAAGATGAAACTTGGGCACCATTGGACTTTCCAACAGGACTTTCCAACAGGTATCACAAGCATACCTCAGATTCCACCAAGATTTGGTTGCAGAAGTTCTGGAAGATTCTACAATGGCCATCACAATCATCTGGCTTGAACCCTATAGAAAATCTCTTATGGGACTTGAAGAAGGCAGTTGCAGAATGGAAACTCAAGAATTTTAAGTTAAATAAATAAAAATAAAATAAATATTACTGAACTTAAGGCCGTTGGTCATGAGGAATGGGTTAAAATTCC